TGATCCATACATTTCAAATCCAAATTTTCACTGTGCAATGCCGGGTAACTCAGCTAGTAATGTAGTAAAATTGTATCTGCTAATTGTGTTTTATTTAACTTTTCCAAGAGTTTTTAAGACAGATTACTTATTTTCAATTAACCAGAAATCATGTTTATTATTTGCATTTTGTTGTAACTTAACAAATACCTGATTCAATAATTTGCTTAATATAACTGCAAGTTGTTTCAGTATAGTTTATACTGAACTAAAAATGAAAGGAAATTTAATGGGATATTTATGTGATTTAAGTATCACATATAGATACAGTAAGTCTGAATGTGGATTTGATTTAGCATCAAGTTTTCTTATAGCTTTCAACAAATTGTTAATAATATCTTCTTTAGACTTATTTTATAGTTTAAAAGTTTATGTAGTATTTACAATTTGTGCATAAAAACATTTGCAGATGAAGCCAAAATTACAGTTGGCCTTATGTATAGGCACAATAATATATTCCTCCTGTATTTTACAGATTCTGTTTTTGAATTGAAAAAATGTTAAATCTATTGGCTACTTATTTCAATTAATAAATGCTAATTTATCTTTAATTGTATTAGTAATATAATATTTCCATTTGGAGGATAATGTGTAGAAGAAGTTTCAAAATATAATAATCTATGTTTTTCTTCATAGAACTTAAGAATGTCTGTTTTTTTACATTTTGTAGCTATTCTATATTTAACATCTTTTTCCGTGATTTTCCCTAAAGAATTGTCTTTTATTATATCCAGATTTCTAATGATAATATATTTATGAAAGGAATCTGCCTACGAATTTGAGTAGCAATTATATGGTAAATTCTGCACAGTATTTATATCTAAGTTATTTAAGAATGACAATATATTTTAAATATTTTAAAGAAAAAATATTTTGTGTTACAGAATCATGCAAACTTTTAGAAATTTGCAAATCATTGACACTTTTATGCTTAAGTTAATTACAATGTATGATGATTTTCTTATTGGTAATTCTTTAATTATATCATTAAGATTATTTACTTTAAGACCAGCTACTGGGTGGATTTCTTTAGAACCAATGAAGATATAAATAGTTGCATGAAAAAGTGGAGGATGTGAATTATACTAATAATAAAGGTTGGGCTTAGTATATTAGTACCTTAACACCTTGGTATTTATGTCCAAACATCAAATTGGGGGCTGGAATACTAACTTAAAGGATAGTTTTATTCTCTTCCCCCATTGATATCTTGTATTTTAATTATTGTTTTTATTTTATTTATTCATTTATTTTATTTTTTTTGTGGTCAACCACCTTCCTACATCTTGCTGTAGACAGCAAAAGATGATAAAGATTTGGGACATTGTGGGCTAGAGCACCCATATTTGCTCCTCTTTTTTTTCTTCTTCTAAGCATATGAGGCCGGTGAAGTTGAGGTTAAACTGGATAGATGGTGTACCCCTGATGCAATTTGGGTCATACTTTCACCAGTACCTCAAAATACTAGGGCACATTACATAATGACCCACCTTATGATTTGTGCCCCAGTGTTGGATATTTGTTTTGTGACTGAATTTTTTTCCTCTTAATAATATTATTATTACTTTCTTCTCTCTATAAAATCTAATTTAAATGGAAATATTTGGAAAATAAAATTTCCTATAAAGTATGATATTTTTTCCATAATACACTTATTAATGTGTTTGACAACAGGCAATGGGCAATAATTTGTTAAAAGTGCAAATTGTCCATTATCTGTTAACAAACAGGTTAATAAGTATATTGTAGAAAAATATCATAATTTAGAAAAAAAAAATTCAATTATTTCCATTTTAGTATTGTGAAATGAAAATAAGAGATCATTGTATTAAATTTTACATAGTTGCACACACAGGCTTTTTTCATTTTTAAGTATAACTTACCAGAGAGTGTCTTATTTTAGAAACTGAAGATATGAAACCAATATCTATTCTTTTATGTATGTGTGTTTTTATTTATTTATTTACATTTACAAATTAATTTTTTTTTCTTTGTGTACCCTACAGGCTTTTGAGCTGGCTACTGGTGATTTTCTTTTTGAACCACACTCTGGTGAAGACTACTCCAGAGATGAGGATCATCTTGCTCATATTTTAGAACTATTAGGAGACATCCCTCGCCATATTGCACTCTCTGGACGATACTCAAGAGAGTTTTTCAATAAAAGAGGTAGATTTATGTTTAAGCTTTAGTAATATTCATCATATTACTTGAAATAAAACCTACTATGCTGCCGTACAGTACAACATATCTTTTCTTTTTTCTTACATTACATACCTAGGGAATTTTTTATTCTTTAGCATACCTTACTGAAGGACTGAATTAAACTCCAATTTTGAAAGCTTGATATAGTGATATTAATGTGAAAAATTATAAATGACAGTGCTTTAACATTTCATGTCATGGTAAGGTGTTATGAAGGTGGATTTGTGTAATATTCTCTCAAACAGCATTTTGAATTTTTCTGTAGTTGACATTTACTTGTCAAAGAAAGCTACAGAGGAGAAGCATTATCAGATTCATTCAGAACAAGAAGTACATTTATTTGTTTACATCTGTTTTTAATAGATGTTTATTCTTAGAAGTTTATTCTCATAATAATTTTCTTTTACATTTTACAGTAATTAACATAATTCATTAAATTAAACAATTTTCAGACAAAAATAACAAACTTTTATTAATTAACATACAAGCTTTTGACCTTTTAACTCAATTTTTATTTTTATTCCTTTTTCTTGAAAGCATCAGTGCATCAAATTACAATTACATAACAATCACTTCTCAAAAACGTTAGCCAACTGCTTGATCAGTTGATTTAACAGATAGAAAATCTTTCAACAGATAAGTATTATTAAAAAGTTGTTTAGAAATAGATATTGTTAGGTTAATTTGTGATAAGTATTGATATTTTACACAAAAAGTGTATTTAAATTAAGATTAAATTGGACTACAATTACACATAGTTACCCATTTACTATTAATGTTAGGCTTAAAGTTTTTTATTTTAAATAAAATTTAATAGTTATCATTTGAAAGTTTAGTAATAGATATCTTGAAGTTAATTTGTGATAAGTATTGATATTTAAAATAAAAGTTGTATTTAAATTAAGTTTAAATTAGATTAAAATCACACATAGTTACTCGTTTACTATTATTTACTATTATTATTAGGCTTAATGATATATTTTGGTTCTAAGATTTTTGGTTAAAGACGGGAGTGTGCTTATAATATTTATATCCTATTATATTATTATTTATATTGAGAGATTAGTGTTGATTGTAGTGAAATTAGATTGAATTTATTACATGTTAGTACTAATAGTAATACTAATAGCACCTTAAATATAATATTGACTTCATTACATTTTACAGTCAATATAATTATCAGCTATGGTTAAGAATAGTCTAGCTACTAAGGCTTCTCAGTTTATAAAGTGTGATAGATGCCAGGAGAGTGTTTTATTTATATACTCCAGGTTAAAGTGTAATTTAAGGGTGGCTAGTAGCCAGGATGTACAATTTATTTGCAGGGTGTGCAGATTAGAGGAGAAGTTGGAGGGTTTTTTTGGGTAGAGTTGCAGAGGTGGAAAGGTAGAAATATAAATTACTTCAAGTGGTGGCAAGGCTTATTGAAGAACTTAAACTTCTACACTCAAAGGTACATTTGTTAAACAGGAGCTAAGAAAGGAAATATGGCTAAAAGCTTGGAAAATAATGCATTTAGGGGCAAGGATGGGCTTGGATTTAGGTTAAGCAACCAGTTCCAAGCACTCACTAGTGATGAGTGGGAGCAGGTGAGGGAAACAGATGGGATCACAAGAGATGATAGTGTAAAGGATAGGGAAGTTATAGTTGTAGGTGACTCTCTAGTTAGGCATATAGATAGAGTAGTATGTGGAGTAAATACGAGCAAAAGAATACACTTATGTCATCCAGGAGTAGGAGTACCGGATATAACTGATAGAACCGGAGAGATAGTTAAGGGTGCTAGTAGCAATGCAGTTTTTGTAGTACATGTTGGGGTTAATGATGTAAGGAAATATGGATCTGAGGAGCTTATTGATAAGTATAAAACATTGATAAGGACATTTAAGGAAAGGGGTCAAAGCTTGATTTTGTCAGGGATGTTGCCAAGAATAAATTGTGGAGATGAGATATTAAGTAGATCACTAGGATTGAATGCCAGGCTTCGATCAATAGGCAGGGGCTAGCATGTTAGCAAGGGTTACTAACTCAGCTGTAGTGGTAGATTTAAACTAGGGCTAGACAGGTGAGAGCTATGATATTAGTAAAATAGGAAATATCATTGACAGGAAAATGTATAACAGGTGTAAAACATGAACGTAACTTAAAATCAATGATTAATTGTTACTATTGTAATGCTAAGAATATTAGAAATAAAATTGATGAGTTCAAAGCAGTTGTGGAAACTGAGGATTTTGATATTATGAGTATCACTGAGAATTGGTTGGATTTGAAAAATTTTGATGAGAGATTTTTTTGAAATACCAGGCTACTGATTATTTACTAGAGATATAGAGTATTGAAAAAGGGGGAGGAGTAGCTTTATATGCGAGGAGTGAATTGCATCCTGTTGAGTTAGAGAATATTAAAGAAAGTAGCACTGGAGTTGAGTCAGTTTGGGTTATAAAGGGAAAAGTCTTGTAATTGGGACTTGTTATAGATCACTGTATAATGAGATTAGAACAGTAGCTGAAAAAGATGTTGTTATTATGGGAGATTTTAATTTCAGGGTTATTGATTGGGGAAATTTCGTGTCTAATAGTGAGGGGGATAGGTTTTTGGAAATTGTTCAGGATAACTGGTGATGTAACCTAAAAGAGAGGAAGCTATATTAGATTTAATATTAGCATTCGATGTGAATATGATAGACAGAGTTGCGTTTGGTGAGCATTTAAGTACAGGCAGCCATTGTGCTATTAGGTTTGGGATTTTACTAAATGTAGAATGGAGGAAGAATAGTACCCTGATTCCAAATTTAAGGAAAGCCAATTTTGATGGAATGAGATGTGATCTGGCTTCTGTAGATTGGACTAAAAAGTTGGGGGGGAATCTTGAACAGATGTGGGAAGCAATTAGGGAAAAATTTATATGCATACAGAACATACATATTCCCTACGGGAAAAAAAAGGGGCAACAGAGAGGTATAAGCCATTATGGTTTAGTAAAGGTTTAAGAGATCATATTAGGGATAAACATAATAAATTCAAAAAATTTAAACTTACTGAAAATAATAAGAACTTGGATTACTATAGGAAATCAAGAGCTGGTTAACAAGGAAGTTAAAAGGGCAAAAACTCTATATGAAAGAAGGTTGGCTGAGAGAGTTAAATCAAACAATAAGGAATTATTTAGATATATAATGGGCAAACAAAATATCAGATGAGGATTGGGCCACTTAAAAATGATAGTGGGGAGTTGATCTTGGAAGATTATGAGATGGTAAATTTATTAAATTTTATGTTCTCTTCAGTTTTTATGAGAGCATTTAATGTATGGGAAAATATTGATGTAAAGGATATCATTTTAAGTTCTGAAATAGTAAGAGAAAAATTGCAAAACTTAAAAATTGATAAGTACTCTGGACCAGACAATTTTTATCTTGGAGTTTTAAAGAAACTTAAATATTTTATTCTTGAACTGCTAACTAATATTTTTTAAAGGTCATTGATTAGTGGAAGAGTATTAGAAGATTGGAAGTTGGCTAATGTTAGTCCAATATTTAAAGGAGGTGATAAACATTGTCCAGGCAATTATAGGCCAGTTAGTCTTACATCACTAGTTGGAAAGGTTTTGGGGAGTGTGAATAAAGATGCATTGCAGAGTCACTTAAAGCAGTTTGATATAATGTCAAAGAGCCAGCATGCTTTCACTAAGGGAAAATCTTGTTTAACAAATCTTCTAACATTCTTTGAGGATATTACTGCAGGAGTTGATGAAGGAAGTACTGTGTAATTGGTTTATTTTGATTTTCAGAAAGCATTTGATAAGGTGCTTCACAAAAGACATGTTACGAAAATTAAATCTGTGGGTGTGGAGGAAATGTTATTAAATTGAATAGAAAATTTTCTGGAGAGTAGTAATAAATGGAGTTAGATCTGACTGGATCACAGTTACAAGCGGTGTGCCTCAGGGCTCTGTGCTTGGTCCTAAGCTGTTTGTGATTTATATTAATGATATTAACTCTGGAATGACTAACAAAATATTGAAGTTTGCAGATGACATTAAGATTTTTGGGATGGCTAATTGTATCAAAGGTGCTGTAAACTTACAGGTAGATTTAGATAGTTTGATGCATTGGGTCAATACGTGGCAAATGATATTTAACTATCCAAAATGTAAGATGATACATGTAGGTTTTCACAATTCAAATTATTGTTACAATTTAAATTAGAATACATTAAATACCGTGGTTGAAGAAACATATCTTGGTGTTGTGATCGAAAAATCACTTAAGTCATCTAAATAGTGTATTGTAGCTAGCAATAGGGCTAATAAGATTTTGGGTATCATATATAGAAATATCGAATACAAAACAAGGGATATTATTGTTTTACTGTATAGATCATTTGTAAGGCCTCACTTAGAGTACTGTATACAGTTTTGGGCTCCCTTCCTCAAGAGAAGAGAAGAGCCACTAGGATGATACCTAGAATGGTGGGATTGTCCTATAAGGAGAGACTAAAATCTCTAAACTTGTTTTCTCTGGAGAGGAGAAGGGTCAGAGTGGATTTGATTGAAGTGTTTAAGATTATTATGGGTATTGATAGTATAGATCCATCAGACTTTTTTGTGTTAAGTAGTGAAAAGCATAGGACAAGGGGGTCATAACTTCACATTTTGGCAGCATAGAAGTTGTTTGCAGTTTAGACAGTATTATTTTTCTAACAGGGTGGTTGGCTTTTGGAATGAGCTGTCTTCAGGGGTGGTGGAGGCAGAAAATTTAACTGAGTTTAAGAAAATATTGGATGAATACATGAGTAGTAAGGGTGGTTATAGTTGGGAGCTGGAAGGGACATCCTTGATGAGCTAATAAGCTCCTTTTTGTCCTGTTAAAATTTTATGAATTTATGAAAACACTTTAACTACAGGTGTTTTGCAAGTGCATATGTCAGCCTTTTACACTGTTACATTCAAAGTTTAATTAAACAACTTTATTATCACAGTATATCAATAAAGTTGGCAAGAAAACAGTTTAGAATTCAAGTTCTATATTATGTAAGTTTAATTTTTTTAATTTCAAAAAAATAACTTAAAAAGTCTCAACCTTTATTTTATTGTGCCATGTGACACATCTGAATTCTGCATTCTCTACTTCATAATTTTACCTTCTTAATTTACCAGAGATATCAATAAGTTGTTAAACTTACCAGAGAAGCTCCTCTTCTCTCTCTCTGACTTTCGAGATTGTTTTCTAATCAACCTTACAAGGTTGATGGGCATGTTTATAACCAATTGAAAGATCATATTCTTCTCTACATGAAGCATAATAACAATTTTACGTTTTGGCAGGCAAAGGATTTAGTCATTAGGAACTCTTTGTTGTGTGATCATCATATTGCTGCTCCAAATAGCTAACAGAATCTTGTAAACCTATTCATACTTTACTTAGTGAACTAGATAAATTTGTGTCAAAGCTACATAGATTGTTTGTGCATCCATTGTGAAACTCAATAAGGCCTATGGAATGTACTGTTTCTGATTACCTCATGAGCTCAATCCAGTTTGATACCATAGTGAGTACTACAAATTCATGTTTTTTATGCATATCTTTTTATTTATTGCTATATATATCTTTTAACAAAAACTAAAAGTAAATCAAATGTAAGCATTAGAAACTTCTCAGGTTAGCTTAACAAAACTTCAGAAAATATAAAAAATCCAAAATTCTACAAGTTGGAAAGGAAGATCATGTTCAATTATGCATGTGTAAATATGTCATGGTTTTTCATGTTACAATCTGCTGGAAACAGCTAATGACTCCTGATGTGATTTATTGTTTTGTTGCCATGAGGATTACTGCTCAGTGAGTACAAAAGTACTGCAATAAAACCACGAAAGAAAACAGATGTGAAAAGATTAGAAGTTGAAACTGTAAAGATAAATAATTTGGAAATTTGTGATTAACACTACAGAGGAAAAAATGGTATTACTCATTTTATTTCACATTTTAAAAATTTTGTTTCCTGTACATTAATTATTTCTCTCTACAGACTCGAAAATCAAGAATGCTGTTAAGCTAGAGAAATGAGAGAAAAAATAAAATGTTACCAAAAAAAAAACTTGATATTCATCTAGAATGTTTTAGAGGTTATGCAACTGAAATATCAAAATTGTAAAATGAAAAGAGGTATTTTTATTCTTTGCATAAAAAATCATCTTTCACTCAGTAAAGACTGGAAATTCACAGACAAAACAGAAATATTTTATTAAAAGATATATTTTTTTATACAACAGTTTTTTAATAGTTTGTAAAAACTTGTCTAATTCTGTATAAATACACTTAGCAAATTGATAGTTATAGTATGTATGGCTTAAAAGACACTGTCTTGGTTCAATGGGCCAACACTACGCTTATAAGGTTAAAGAAAGTACATGAAAACAATGTTAAAAGGATGAGGTTTTTCTTTTGAGATGCCAAATATATGTTGTTTTTAAGAGGAAATGTCAGATAAGGAAGAAGTTTATCATTAAGCTGTCAAATGCATAATATCTTTGTCTATTTATTTGCTGTTGTAAACAAAAATGCTAGCTTATTAAGAATTTATTTTAATCATGTAGTAGTTGCACTGTATACTAATTTATATATGAGTATTGAATGTATTTCTTTTTATATATTTAAGGTTACACTATAGAGAAAAAGATGTATCTCATTGGAAACCCTGAATTTTCATTTCTTAGGAAAAGTGTAATATACACTAATAGGATTTTAGGTTGTATCTGAAGAAATATTGAATACAAGTCTAAAGATGTTATAATTTCATTATATAAGTAACTGGTTAAGCCACATTTGGAGTATTATGTTCAGTCTTGGACTCATTATTGTCAGAAGGACATTGAATTGTTGGAAAGGGTTCAGAGGAGGGTTACTAGAATGGTGCCTGGGATGGAGGAGTTGTCATTTGAGGAGAGATTGCATTCTCTCATGTTAGAGAGGATCTGATTGTAAAGGGAATTGATAGTGTTGATGCATCATCTTTATTTATACTTAACAGTGAGAATAGTAGGAGTAGGAGACACCAAAATTAATTTTGGCAAGGTAGGAGTCATCTTTAGCTGAAACAGTTTTATTTCTCTAACCGGATTGCCTTCGGATGTTGTGGAGGCAGTAAATTTAAGTGAGTTTAAGATAAAGCTTGATAACTATATGAATGATAAGGGCTGGCTTTAATATATTTATTTTTTAAATTTATTTGATAATTTTAGTTTAGTTTAGAGGATGGGACAGTTGAGATGGACCAAAAGGTCCCTTGTTGTCCCTAAACATTATGTTATGTTATCTAAAAAGAGATGCATTATCCCATATTCTCACAGGCCCTGATTTGTGTGAAGTGTTTTTTTTTAACAAAAAAGTTTTAGTTCATAATGTATGATTATTTTAAAACCTGTCAAGAACTGTAAATAAGTTATATATTTTTATGTGCCTGATTTTGAAATGCATTATTTTATTCTTAACACAACCCACAGACTTACTGAGAAATAAAAATTGACAATATATTAACAAGTACAAATAATTAAATTGCAACAATTCACTTATTGTATATTACACAGTTCAAAAGAATGTTTTCTCAAGTTTTGCTCAAAATAATGACAATTTCAACTAATCTTACTTTCTGACTCGTACGTGTTATTCTTTATGGGATTTTGTAGTTGTACTGGTTATTGTTAAGTCTAAACAGTAGCCAAATGCTAAATATAGGCTAACTCTCTAATTATTTATATAAATTCTTGATTTACTAAACTTAACTTCTGAATTATCTTGTCATAAGCACCTAAGTAACTGGGAATCTTCTTCATAGAGCTAAGCTAGTGTTGTTATTCTTTTTGTCAAAACACTGGATTAATCAAATCTTTGTCATCAAAACACTTATCACAGAACAATTTAATATACATTTCAAAACTTGTAACTAAACACAATATGACATGCCCAGCAACATTATTAAACAACCAAGCTTTTAATATTGTCATAGTCTACATAGATTTGAATGATACTTTCAGTTGTTTAACTTGTATTGTGTTTTTTATTCATGAATATAAACACACATATATAAGAATTTTTAGTTTACATTTAGATATAATTGAGAATTTTATATTTATGTGTTTGTGTGAGTGAGTGAGTAAAGGAAATAAAAACAACAACAACAAAGTATGTAACTTTGGTATTTTTCAACTAGTTTAAGAATTATTTTGCCTGTTTTATTTAATAAATAATTCAAAAACAAGCATCACAAAGACTTAATTAACATAAAAACTGCTTTATAAAGAAGTTTTATTCTTTCAGCCAGAACTATTAATCATAAAGAACAATATTTGTGAACAGATAATTACTCAAAGATATTACCTCTCGTCTAATCTAGAAAGCATTTTTCAATATAAATGTCTTATTCTTAAGGGTTTTCTCTTTAAATTTCGCTATAAGTATGATTAACATACAGTGTGGTGTTTTTTATAAGATTAGCTTAATCAGTTTTTGAAATTGAGAGAGAACTTTGTGAAACTGTTTCCACAATATGAATAAATATTCATTCTAATTCAGGTGAACTCAGGCACATCACTAAGTTGAAACCATGGGGGCTTGTACATGTTTTGACAGAAAAGTATGAGTGGGATCCCTCCGAAGCTCAAGCATTTACAGATTTCCTGGCACCGATGTTAACCTTTGATCCCAACCTCAGAGCCAGGGCCAGTGATTCTTTGAACCATCCATGGTTGAACTCATGATTACCAGTCTGTGTAGTCTTTTAGATCCTTCTAATCTGTGGAAGTTTTGTTTAGTTCTGTGGATACCTCCTGCATTTAGCCAGCCAATCATTATTTAAACTTCTGGAATTTTTTCTTGAGACTGAACACTGTATTTCTTAGCTATGACTTGTGGCTCATGTATGCTGGATCTGAAAATAATGTGTTTAAAAACTTCTTCCTTGTCAGTGAAGTGCTTGAAGTCTTTTAAACAGCAAATAAATGTTCATGGTGCTATCCAGCACACTGAATGACAGTGATGTAGCTTTTGGTCTCAAATATTGCCCACATACCTAATATTTCCTTTAGGGTAATTTTATTTTAAAAGAGTTTTTTG